TCATTTGTCTCTTTTTTCTTTTTTCGTTTCTTTTGTCCATATAATTTATTTTGCCGGTAATATTTTGGTTTATTCCTCTTTTTTTTTTTTTTTTTTTTTTGTTTTGTTTTTCTTTTACACAAATTAATTATTAAAGGATAATAACTGTGTGTGTTAGAGTCGACGAAAGATAGAGAGTTTAAAATGAGTATAACGGTTTCTTTTTTCTTTTTTCGGCGCTTTTTCAAATACGTATGTTATGTATGTATATATACGTATGTGTATTTGCAGGCGTACGCGCGCGCATGCTCTGCTCTGCTCTGTGTGTGTGTGTGTATGTATAATACGTGTGTAAACACGTTTAGATAGGGACAAACGTATTTCCCCACCACAAATGGCCGTGTTTGTAAATATGGTGCCGCCATTATTACGTACACGCAACACGAAACACAACATCGGAAAACGAAGATGATTGGTTCGGCAATGTTCGGTTAAGTTCGGCTATAGACGCACAGGGGCGTATCAACGAGTCACGAGATCCATCTTTCTCTTTCTTCTTACGTGTACGAACATACGTTTTAATGATGAGATTATTTTTTAAAAGTGGGGGAAAGAGTTCTTGGAAAACCGTTGTATTATTTCGATTAAGAATGAGATAGAAAAACGTTTAAGGGACAAAACGAAGATAGAAAATAACGGCACAAAAAAAAGAATTCTTTAGATTGTTATGGTTTGTTTGTTTGTTTGTTTGTTTGTTTCTTTCCCCTCTCTCATTTTCTTATCATCTGTCATTTTAGAACGGCATTCAAATTTTTAATTATCGAATATTATTATCCGACAAATTGAAAAATCAATTATATATTCCAAAGACGATAAATGATTATCGTACGATTTTTTCTTTTCGTTTATAATTAATTTTTCAAAAAATTAAAAGTTCATATATATATATATTATGAAAAGTTTAATCTTTTTCATATCTTTTAGTTTAAAATAGATAATCGGTCGATTGATGATTTATATTATCGATAAAGATAAACAAAATATTTCTCGTATATTTCTCGCGAGTCGAATTATTTGTCGAAAAATAAATAAATGGCAGAGATAGAGAGAGAGAGAGAGAGAGAGAGAGAGAGAGAAAGAGGGAAAATATTTTTTTGTTTCCTTTTTTTTTCGAATAGAGGAATTCGAACGATACGTGAGAAATCTTTGAATTTAAATACGAATTTTTCAATGTTCTTTTCTGATACGTGTCATCGTGTTTACATACGACATACACACACACATATATATATATATATACATACATATCACCTGCGCATATACATATATGAATAACGAAACACAACAAGGGAATACCAATCATCGTGCGACAAAAATGTATAAAAACGTTATTAAAAAGTATGATACAAGTTTTGCACTTGAAATTCAACTTTTGTGACAAAATCGAATTAACACTTTTGTCAAATTAAATTCGTCCTTGTTTTTATTTTATAAAATATATATATTTATATGAAATTACATCATACTATGCAACTGGAGAATCATTATAGATTAAATCATGTGTATGTATATTACTTTATTAAAGTATTTAAACACATTTTTATTTTACAAATAAAAATGTTAATTCGATTAGATTTTGTTCTGTTGTTGTTTTTTTTTTTTTATAAAAGTTTCAGAACAAAAGTTTTTATAATTTAAAAGTTTGATTTGCGAAAAGGGGTAAATTTAAAACGCAAAACTTTAATCAAATGAATTATAATTTAGTAACGAAGTGCATCGACACAAAATGAGATATACACAATATATATATATATATATATTAAAACGTAAAACAAAGAAAAAACATAACAAAAAAAAATAAACAAATATTCTCATCGGCTACCTCCAGAGCATTTCAATACATTAAAGTAATTAATTAATTAATTGCATCCTTCCTAGTAGAAATAGATAGAATATAAATTATATAGGAGAGAAAAAAAAAAAAGAAAAGAAAAGAAAATATTAAATATTAAAAAGTTAATATTAAAAAATTAAAATATTATAAAACCAGAGAAAAAAAAAAAAAAAGAGAAAAAAAAAGAAAAAGAGAGAGGAAAGAAAACGAAAAAGAGAAAAAAAGATTAACAAATATCTAAAAGCAGACGAACTTCGGGTTAAAAATGGCCGATCAATTTTTCCGTTTCATTTTTTATTTGTTTGTTTATTATTATTATTATCATTTTGTTTGTTTATTTTTTTTTCCTTTTTCAAAATTAAAATAATACACACTCGTACAAATGAAAGAAGAGAACGATCGTGATCTAATAAATATAACACACACAATCTTTTTAAAAAAAAATAGATTTTTCAAATAATATAATATTTCATTATTTTCATTTTATTTCTTCTTTCTTTTCTTTTCTTTTTGATCTTTTGTTTTTAATTTTTTTTTTTTTCGAACACGATCGTGCTGCTTCAATCACCGAAGCCGTTGCATTTCCTTTTTAGAGTATTATGTATGATTTAAAAATATTTGAATGCTGCGTGAGTATACGTGTGTGTGTGTGTGTGTGTGTGTGATGTGCGAAGTGATGTTTAGAAAAAAAAGTACATGTAAACAAATAAATAGATAAATGAATGAATATTAACAAATTAATAAATAATAATAATCATAATAATAATAATAATAATAATAATATTAAGAAGAAGAAGAAAAAGTAGAAGTAGAAGTAGAATTG